CACAGAGCAGTGTGCTCACGTTTCTACATCCGGGCCCCACTTCCGCCCTCTACACAGAGCAGTGTGCTCACGTTTCTACATCTGGGCCCCACTTCCGCCCTCTACACAGAGCAGTGTGCTCACGTTTTGTCATCGCTTCCCCTTCCAAAACTTGCTTGATTTTACCTTCCTTTCCACTCCAGGGGTCTTAAAAAGTGCCTGACTGCTACTTCTCTGTCAACCCTTTAAGTAAAGGGCAGCCTTTGTTAATATTCTCTTACTAACAGCAAACAAACCAGAATAGCATTTATAATAGCAATGAGAAATTAAATACCTAGGAATAAATAAGTAGAAAGTTATATTGTGTTTGCAAATCATAAGATTAGGTATTATTAAGATGCTAAAATCATGGCTGGAGAGATGTGCATACTGCACTTGGGAAGGACCTCTGTGTGATAGTAGGGACATCAACACCCTACACTACCCTAATGGATAGGTCAACCAGATAGTAACTTAACAGAGAAATAAGAGAACTAACAGATGTCATGACTCAAATGGACTTAATAGACATCTACAGAACATTCCACCCAAATACAAGAATATACCTTCTTCTTAGCACCTCATGGAACTTTTCTAAAACTGACCACATATTTGGTCACAAAGCAAATATCAACAGATACAAAAAATTGGAACGACTCCCTGAATCTTACTGGACTACCATGGCTTCAAGTTAGAATTCAACCACAACACTAATTGCAGAAAGCCCACAAACACATGGAAACTGAACAGTGCTCAACTGAATCACCCCAGGGTCAAGAAAGAAATAAAGAAAGACTTCCTAGAATTCAATGAAATGTAGGCACAACATACTGAAACCTATGGGACACTATGAAAGCAGTGCTAAGAGAAAAGTTCAGAGCAACTAATAAAATGGAGAAATCTCCAACTAGCAACTTAACAGCAAACCTGAAAGCTCTACAATAAAAAGAAGCAGAGTCACCCAGAGGAACAGACGACAGAAAATAATCAAATTGAGGGCTGAAATCAATAAAATAGAAACAAAGAAAACAATACAAAGAATCAATGAAACAAAGAGCTGGTTCTTTGAGAAAATCAACAAGACAGACAAACTTCTTTCAAAACTAATCAAAAGGTAGAGAGAGAACATCCAAATTAACAAAACCAGAAATAAAAAGGGGGACATAAAAACAGACACTGAGGAAATCCAGAGAATCATTAGGTCATACTTTGAAAACCTGTACTCCACAAAATTGGAAAATGTATAAGAAACGGATAATTTTCTGGATAGGTACCATATACCAAAATTAAATCAAGACCAGGTGAACAATTTAAATAGACCTATAACCATAAGGAAATAGAAGCAGTCATCAAAAGCCGTCCAACCAAAAAAGCCCAGGGTCCAATGGCTTCAGTACAGAATTCTACTAGAACTTCAAAGAAGAGCTAATACCTATACTCCTCAAATTGTTCTGCATAATAGAAACAGAAGGAACATTGTCAAACTCTTTCTATGAGGCTACAATTACCCTGATACTGAAACCACACAGACTTAACCAAAAAAGAGAATTACAAACCAATCTCCCTCATGAACATTCATGCAAAAATATTCAATAAAATACTGGCAACCCAAACCCAAGAATACATCAAAAAAAAAAAAAGTCATCTACCATGATCAAGTTGGCTTCATCCCAGAGATGCAGGGATGGTTCAATACATGAAAATCTATCAAAGTAATCCACTATATAAACAAAGAAAAAACATATGATCATCTCATTAGATGCTAAAGAAGCATTCGACAAAATCAAACACCCCTTTATAATAAAGGTCTTAGAGAGATCAAGGATACAAGGAACATATCTAAACATAATAAAAACAATACACAGCAAGCCGACAGTCAACGTCAAACAAAATGGAGAGAAACTCAAAGCGATTCTACTAAAATCACAACTAAGACAAGGCTGTGTACACTCTCCATATCTATTCAATATAGTACTTGAAGTTCTAGCTAGAGCAGTAAGACAACAAAAGGAAATCAAGGGGATACAAACTGGAAAGAAAAAAGTCAAACTCTCACTATTTGCAGATGATATGATAGCATACATAAGTGACTCCAAAAATTCAACGAGGGAGCTCTTACAGCTGATAAACACCTTCAGTGATGGGGCAGGTACAAGGCTAACTAAAAAGAAAGCAATAGCCCTCTATATACAAATGATAAAGAGGCTGAGAAAGAAATCAGAGAAACGTCACCCTTTACAATAGCCACAAATAACATAAACTATTTTGGGGTAACACTAACTAAAGACGTGAAAGGCCTATTTGACAAGAACTTTAAGACTTTGAAGAAAGAAACTGAAGATATCAGAAAAGAAGAGATTTTCCATGTTCGTGGATAGGCAGGATCAACATATTAAAAAGGCAATCTTAGCAAAAACAATCTACAGATTCAATGCAATCCCCATCAAAATCCCAATACAATTATTCACAGACCTTGAAAGAACAATACTTAACTTCATATGAAAAAACAAAAAACCCAGAATAGCCAAAACAATCTTGTACAATAAAGAAACTTCTGGAGGCATCACCATCCCTGACTTCAAACTCTACTATAGAGCTATAGTAACGAAAACAGCTTGGTATTGGCATAAAAACAGACAGGTGGACCAATGGAGTTGAATTAAGACCTGGATATTAATTAATAAACCTAAGAACACCTGATTTTTGACAAAGAAGCTAAAATTATAAAATAGAAAAAAGAAAGCATCTTCAACAAATGGTCCTCATATAACTGGATGTCAGCATGTAGAAGAACGCAAATAGATCCATATTTATCCCCATGCACAAAACTCAAGTCCAAATGGGTCAAAGACCTCAATATAAATCCAGCCACACTGAACCTGATAGAAGAGAAAGTGGGAAGTAGCCTTCAACACATTGGCACAGGAGACCACTTCCTAAATATAACACCAGTAGCACAAACACCAAGAGCAACAATAAATAAATAGGACCTTCTGTAAAGCAAAGGACATAGGAACACTTCTGCATTGCTGGTGGGAGTGCAAGCTGGTACAGCCCCTTTGGATGTCAGTGTGGTGATTTCTCAGAAAATTAGGAAACAACCTTCCTCAAGACCCAGTAATACCACTTTTGGATATATATACAAAGGATGCTCAATGGAGCCACAAGGACATGTGCTCAGCTATGTTCATAGCCGCTTTCTTTGTCATAGCCAGAACGTGGAAACAACCTAAATGCTCCTTGACCGAAGAATAGATAAGGAAAATGTGGTACATTTACACAATGGAGAAACAACAGAAAAAAAATAACGACATCTTGAATTTTGCAGGAAAATGGATAGAGCTAGAAAACATTATTTTGAGTGAGGTAACCCAGACACAGAAAGACAATTATCACATATACTCATTCATAGGTGGTTTTTAAACATAAAGAAAAGAAAGCCAGCCTTCAAACCACAATCCCAGAGAACTTAGACAACAATGAGGACACTAAGAGTGACTTACATAGATCTAATCTACATGGGAAGTAGAAAGTAGAAAAAGACAAGATCTCCTGAGTAAATTGGGAGTATGGGGACCTTGGCAGAGGGTTGAAAGGAGAGGGGAGAGGCAGGGAGGGGAGTAGAGAAAAATGTGGAGTTCAATAAATATCAAAAAAAGAATATAAAAATAAATAAAACCCTCTCACTCAAACAAGGAGTCAGTGTATAAAAAAAAAAGCAAAGGACATAGTCAATAAGACAAAAAGGCAGCCTACTAAATGGGAAAAGATCTTCACCAACCCCGTATCAGACAGAGGACTGATCATCAAAATACATAAAGAACTCAAGAAACTAGACATCAAAATACCAAATAATCTAATTAAAAAATAGGGTACAGATCTAAACAGAGAATTTTTAACAGAAGACTCTCAAATGGCTGAAAGAAATGTTCAACATCCCTAGACATCAGGGAAATGCAAATCAAAATGACTCTCAGATACTAGTCAGAATGGTTAAGATCAAAAACACCAATGACAGCTTATGCTAGAGAGGATGCAGAGTAAAGGGAACACTCTTCCATTGCTGGTAGGAGTGAAAACTTGTACAGCCACTTTGTAAATCAATATGACAGTTTCTCAAAAAAAAAAAATGGGAATCAGTTTACCTCAAGATTCAGTAATATCACTCTTGGGTATATGCCCAAAGGATGCACAATCATACTATAAGGACATTTGCTCAACTATGCTCACAGCAGCATTATTTGTAATAGCCAGAACCTGGAAACCACCTACATGCCCCTCAACCAAAAAAAGGATAAAAAAAAAATGTGGTACATTTATACAATGGAGTACTACTCAGTGGTTTAAAAAAAAATAACATCTTGAAATTTGCATGCAAATGGATGGAACTAGAAAAAAAAACATCCTGAATGAGGTAACCCAGACCTTGGTTACAAACCTTGGTGGCAAACATGGTATGTAGCCACTCATAAGTGGATATTAGACATAAAGCAAAGGATAACCAGCCTATATAGTCCATGACCCCAGTAAAGCTTGGTTACAAGGAGAATCCTAAGAGAGACATACATGGATTCCCCTAGGAAGGAGAAATAGACAAGATCTCCTGAGAAAATTGGAAGCATGGGGGGTGGGAAGGAAGGGGAGGAGGGGTGAAGGGGACAGGGAAGGAGAACTTGAAGGAATGGGAGGGTCGAGCTGGGGGAAGGACAAAGAGGGAGAGCAAGGAAAGAGATATCATGATTGAGGGAGCCATTATGGGGCTAGCAAGAATCTTGGCACTAGAGAAATTCCCAGGAAGCCACAGTGACCCCAGGTAAGACCCTAAGCGATAGTAGAGATGGTGACTGAACTGGCCTTGCCCTGTTGTCAGATTGATCAGTATCTTAAATGTCACCATAGAACCTTCATCCAGCAACTCATGGGAGCAGATACAGAGATCCACAGTGGAGCACTGGGCTGAGCTACCAAAGTCCAGTCGAAGAGGGGGAGGAATGATACCCTCTGGAACAGCTGACCGGATTACTGGGAGCTCACTGACTCCAGACTGACAGCAGCGGATCCAGCAAAGGACCAAACTAGGCTGGGGCAGACTGTGGGGCCACTGGCAGTGAGACCACGATTTATCCCTACTGCTTGTACTGGCTTTTTGGAACCTGTTCTCTTTGAAGGGATACCTTGCTCAACCTAGATATAGTGAGGAGGGCCTTTGTTCTTCCTCAAAGCAATGTGCTAGACTTGTTCACTTCCCATGGGAAGCCTTACCCTCTCTGAGGAGTGGACTGGGGGGTGGGAGGGAGAGAAAGTAGAGGGAGAGGGAGGAGGGGAGGGACTGGAAACTAGGATTGGTATGTAAAATGAGAAAAGATTTTTTAATAAATAAATAAATGACGAATTAGAATTTGTGCAACAGATCCCAGTTAGATCTTAGTCTCCTCGCTGGAAAAATCTGTAGGGCAATGCAAGGATTCCAAAATAGCTAGGCTGCAATCTTGAAGGTAAAGCTGGAGAACTTGGGTTACTAAATACCAAATTATTACAACCCTGCCTTAATTTAGACTAGGTGCACTTGAGCTGGAGATGGCTCAGTGGTTTAGAATGCATACTGTTCCTATAAAGGACCTGCATTTGGTTCCAAGCACACATTCTGGGCAGCTTGCAACAGCACATGTCTCCAGATTCAGAGGAGCCAATGCCCCTGATTTCCACAGTTACCTGCACTCATGTGCACCCCCACCATGCAGAGGAAGACATACAATTAAAAAATAATAAAAATAAGTTTTTTAGAGTCAGTGCTCTGACCTCAATGGCCCCTGCAAGATGTTGCTTGTCTCACATCATACCACTTTGCCCCCTTAAGATGAAGCCTTAATCTTAACACAGCTCATTACCATCATATGTTCATATGTTCATTACACATAATGATTCCTAGGACCTAGCAAGACACTTCGTCAGATAAGGGCATCTGACATCAAACCTGAGCACCCCCAGAATCCATCCTGGAGAAGGAGAAAGCTGATTTCATGTGTGCTTTGGTGCCCACGTGCACATACACACACAAAATAAAATTCAATGTAATAAAAAATTTTAAATTGTTAACATTTATTGTAAGCTACTAGTTTTGTATTTAAAGTAAAATAGAAATATATTTCATATATATTTTAAAATAGAATTTCACTAAAATTAAATAGAAATATACTTAACAAACCTTATTAGGTTTAGAACTAAAGTTTAAAGAGTTACCTCCTAAATTTATCTTTTTTGTCCTTTAAGTCATCAATTTCATTGTGTGTGAACAGATCAGCTATGCGTGTGAGGAGGTTTGCATTGATACAATTCATGTTACATGGGGCAGCTACTATGGCATTCATATTTCTGTGGCAATACTGAATACATTGTTCAACCTGAAAAGCACAGAAGAGAAAATTAATGTTGAAAATAGTAACGTAAATGATAGTCAGAGTAATTTCAAACATAAAAATCATGAAAAGTCAAGCCCACATATACATTGCTAGTAACTGGACCTGCCATGTGTTCATCTGCACTGTTAAATAGGTAAAATTTAAAACACATATAGAGAAATCATTTCCAAGCCCTTTTATTTACAATAATGTATTTTAAGTGGATGTAGCAGGCATAAATCTTACTCTGCACACTACCGTGCATATTCAACTGACTTCTCAAGGATAAACTTAGTTATTAAGGTATCTCCAATGCTCCAGGGAAGAGAAACAAAAGTTCAGACATGCAAGGACTTTCTCAGTACTGTTTTATTTGCTTTCTCTAACCTGAGGTGGATTTACTCAGTGTAAATGTAAAGAGAGAGCCGTCTCATATTTCTCCACATACTGTTCTGATGATATAAAAGTATTGTTCAGGGCTTAGGGTCTGAAACTCAAAGTGTGAGAACACTGACTGTTCTTTCTGTAGGCCTTGCTCGAAGCTCTGTACTACTGGATTGGGGTAGCGCCCTGCTCTGTACTGCCGGATGGGGGCAGACCCAGAAAGAGTTTAAATAACAGCTACAAAATGTCAGCCGTGGGAACAGAAAACCATGAATTACAAAGATTTTTTTGCTTTCGGTTTTGTGTGAGATCAAGCCTGACTATGCATCCTAGGCTTGCCCAGATATTTATTAAATAAATAAGAAAATAATTATACTTAATATCATAGCTTGAAATAGATGTGTACATATTACAGTTTTATATTTGACCTGCTGTCCTTAGGCAATAGATACAAACTGTGATGTAGACACAAAGCTACACTGTCTAGTAGCTGGGCATTTGGTTTTTGCTCATTGAACTATAAGTGAGAGACACACAGAATAAAAACATGCCTAAAGAAATTATTTAAATAGTAAAACAACATAATTCAATTAATTTTCCTTGTTAGTGATAGAACAAAAATCTTTCAGAATAAAGTTTATTCTATCAAGTATCAAATTACATGGTTGTTCCAATTATAGACATAACATACAAATGATACCCAGTGGTCTTAACCCCTTCTCACAAGAACAAAGTACTGTTACAATTATTCTCTGAAGCTAACTATTTTGCTTTCTATACATCCAAAAGAGGGAAAGGATTATGTCAATAAAGGGCTTAGATTTTTAAAATGAATACTTACTAATGAATCCATCTTCAGGAATTCTGAAGAAATGAGAATTGAAATGACATTTCCTGGCTCTAATAAAAAGAAAAAATGAAATTTCCTTTTAATTTTTAACTCAATTTTCTCTTTTCATCTTAAAAGAGGATGTTACTTTAATTTAAAAAATTGATATACCCTTACTTATATCACTTAGATTGGATATAAGAAAGAAAATTTAACGCTAAATCATAGGGTGTAGACAAACATGGTAAACTGTCTTTGAATTAGATTCACGTTAAGTACAAAACTCTAGCTAAAGATAATGGCATGAAAAGTAACAGTGAGAAAAGCTAAACAGTGATGGACGAGAGCATTAATCAGGGAAGTATTTCAGAAAGGCATTGGTGCTGACAAACAGTTAAAGATTCTCAAATGTAACAGAAATGAACTACCGACAAAATGCTAATGGTGCACAAGATGGCCACACAGAGTGAGTCTCCAGGCACACAGGGAGGGAGCTGCACCTGAGTGGGTCTCCAGGCACACAGGGAGGGAGCTGCACATGACTAACACACTGAGTGGGTCTCCAGGCACACACAGAGAAAGAAGGTGATGCCTCACACTGCAATTTCAGTAAATATGTCATCTCCGTAAAATATATTGAAGAAGAAACCCAGCCATTTCCCACCACCCTGGTAACAATCATTCTGAACCCTTTGTAGTAGAAATCCTTTTTAGACTAAGCAATGGGTAAGTAACTTCAACCTTCCCAAATAACAGTTCTAGTTGAAGGTTCTCAAGCTAGTGGAAAAGCTTCTTGGGAAATTGTACCCGAGGATGCACCATTCAGTTAAGGACTAGTGGCTTAATTATGAGATTTAATTAAGAATCCTCATACTTTTCTTGGTTAGGATAAGGGCTTCTTCTAAAAGAAGTTTATATTTATAGCAGAGACATAAGCCAAAGATAAGCAGAATAAGCAGTTTTTCTCTTTCTTTCGCTCTTCCTATATGCACGTGAAATGCGTCAGTAAACAAATTCCCATTATCTATGGATTTTTAAACTTTCCATTTTCTCACAATAGGCTACTGCTCACCACAAAAGGTATAGTGTACATATGTATGCACATATATGAATATATGCACACATGTATTCATAACTAGATAATCTGAAATATGGTCTCTGGCTTAAATTTTTTAGAAGACAATTTAAAATTTAAAAAATATTTATTTTATGCATTGGGTGTTTTGCCTGCATGTATGGCTGCACCATGTGCATGCAGTGCCTGCGGAGGAGAGAAGAGGGCACAGGATCTCCTAAAGCTGCTGTCATGGACAGCTGTGAGCCACCGTGGGTGCGAGGAACCCACCTAGTCCTTAATCACTGATCATCTTTCCAGCCCTAGCTCAAAGTTTAATTTAACAACCTGAGGATTTGAATATTTATTTTAAACATATTTATTTAGAAATCTCTCCCATTTGTTTGGACACTATAATTTCATAAACTTTAAACTTTTTAATACTATAAACATTAACAGGAGTTTTTTTGTTTGCTGTCAGTGCTAGGGACTGGATCTCCGTCCTCAGAAATGCTGGGTGAGCACTCTACCACTGAGCCATACTCCCAACCTCTCATTACGTGCTTTAAAGTACTCTGATATTGTTATTCTAGTACATAGACTTCTTATTTCTTATCTAAATCTATGTCCATTAAAAGATTACTTATTAGTTATTTTTTAAATAATATTTTAACATTAAACTAATGGGTTTCACTTTGACATTTTCATAAACACATGTTCCTTAATGGTTATCTTATTATCATTAAGAACACTGGTTCTGGAATGGGTGGTGGTGGCTCACACTTTTAACCCCAGCACTCGGGAGGCAGAGACAGGTTGATTTCTGTGAGTTCAAGGCCAGCATGATCTGTAAGAGCTAGTTCCAGGACAGGTTCCAAAGCTACAGAGTAAACCCTGCCTTGAAAAACCAAACCAAACCAAAACAAACCAAAACAAAACAAAACAAAGCACTGGTTCTAAAATTTTTAGTCTCAGAACTCCTTTACAATCTTAGAAACAGAATCCTAAACAGATTTTGTTTATGTGGGACATATGTCAGTATTTACCATAATTTACCATATTAGAAATAATGTCAGCAGAGAAATTTTTAGAAGTCAGTTTTAAAATGCAATAATTCTATTACATATAAACATAGTTTTGTGAAAAATATCTTCAAATAAAGAATTAGTGAGTGGCACATTTTCTATAAATCTCTTCAATGTCTAACTTAACTGACTGCCAGAAACTCGTATCTGTTTCTTTCTTCTGAGACAGGATCTCACTCTTAGCTCAGGCTTGTCTTCAACTTATAGCAATACTCTTGCCTCAGCTTCCCAAAGTGCTGGAATTACAAGCAAGAGCCAGCACACCTGGCTTCCAATCAGCTTTGCACTTAGTGTCGGGGTAGGCTGCTTTTGTGAAGCCAAAACTTGACAAGCGGCATTGTCGTGAAGGTGGAGTGGTGCAGAATCAGAAATCACATCAGCAAACTTCTCCTGGGTTCAGTGGCCATCTTGCACTGTGGGCGCAGCGTTAACCCACTCTAGAAATGTTTTAGACACTGCACAGGGCTCATGTGGGAAAGAGTTATGCATGTTCCAAATGTTCAGACGCCTCATTGGAAAGAGGGGTTTAAAAGTCAGATTTGACAGTAAGACCAACAGAATTTCAAAAGAAAAGTTTTTGTGTATGGAGAAGTTGTTGGTTACACTGGAGCAGGGACACTTTCCAAAACTCGACTTCTCACGTGAGAACTTGGCTTTTATCACTAACAACACCACTATCAACTATTTTCCTTTATGCGACTAGCTGTCTAAATAATCACAAGTTCTGTAAGCTGCTTTCTCAAGTAAACACGTTTTTAGTTAGTTAGCTGAGTTGTGAGCTAACTCAGCCGTGCCAAGACAGCCATACTGGTATGCATCCAAACTGCTGAGGGCCATTATGAGAGTCCAGAAAAGGATGTATACCGGGGGTTAAGAGGTAATAAAGTCATTTTTACTGCTTCATCAAGGACAAGTGAACCTACGTCTTCCCCTTTCCTTTTTAACTATGAGTGCATGGTACTGGAGAAAACCAATGCAACGGCTCCTTTGGCTGCTTTGATTCGGGCTATAAAGCTCGACTATCTTGTACACGCTGTCTTTTCACACTCTGAACAAACCTTGCAGGACGGAGAAAGTGGGTAACATCTTGGTATTGTCATGTAACCTGTCATGTTAACCGTCCCAGGAAGGACAGAGCAGGAGTTCCTGTGGTCTGAGCAGGACTCTCATAAGCTTCTATGCCTCAGTTTGAACCTGAAGCAGCTACCGGTGACACAGATTTCAGCACAAAATAAGCAATGGATTGGTTTTTTGTTTTTGTTTTTTTACCTAAAGTGGGAATCTCACAATCCTTATTCTCCTTAGTGTTCCTTTTGACATATTTTATCAGCCAGTTGAAAATATGAACATCACAATGAACAGAAATGTCCACCTCTTCCCAGCGCTGGGCATCCATAGATAAATATTCAGCAAAGTACTTCATTTCTGATATTAAAAGATCTCGTGGACAAATAAAATCTTCTTTCAAGCTTTTTGCTTCATCACATACGTGGATCACCATGTTTGGCCTTCATGAAAAACGTTACACAGAAAAGAGACGATTAGAGCGCGAAGGTGCGGCGAGACCACTGACATGTAGTGGCCGTAAGAGAACAAGGTGCTCTTGCAGGTTTCGACCACAAAAATCTGTTTTATAGGGTCTGATTTCAAAATTTCTCACTTCTTGTTTATCTGATTATACCTTAGATTATGATTAGCTTCAGTAAGCTACCCACTTCATAAAGAAATAAAAATATTGTTTCTAGAGAACTAATACTTTACATGGCTTCAACTTTATTGTTCAAGTTTCAGTTCTCAAAGAAAAATTAAATAATAGACTTTGATTCTTGTATAATAACGAACAACTTTATACTTTTAAAAAAGGAAAACTATCTAAAATGATTCCTTGAACAATCAAATTAAAAACCTGTACGCTTACTTTGGTATCAGCAATGTTTGGCTCCAGGCATTCATGAAATACATGTTAATGAGTACAGTTACAAGATGGCCCACAGAACGTGGGGGACAGTTGTGAGGCTTGGGTGCTCTGTGGGGCCACTGGCAGTGGGATCACGATTTATCCCTAGTGCTTGATCTGGCATTCTCTATGGAGGGATACCTTGCTCAACCTAGATATGGGGGGGAGGGCCTTGATTCTACATCAAACTGATGTTAGACTTTGTTGACTCTCCATGGGGGGCTTACCCTTTCTGGGGAATGAATGGGGGTAGGGAGAAGGGTGGAGTATGGGGGAAGGGGGTCAGAACAGGGATACTGTGTGGAATAAGACTGTATTAAAGTAATAATAATAAAAAGATTACTTATAATAAAGAATTAAGACTGTGCTTATTTACATAAAATAATTTAGTAAATACATCTGAAAGTTTGCTTCAAAAACTACATACTCCTTGAATTTACCTTCCTTGAAAGTGATGTATTTTGCTAGGGATGGCAGCTCACATGTGTAATCCTGGGGCATGAGAATCTGAAGTGGTAGGATTGATTACCATCAGCTGGGGGTTTTCTGTACTATATAGTAGGTACCAGGCCAACCTGGGCCATAGAGTGAGACCCTGTCTCAAAAATGCAAAAGTCAACTAAAAAAGAAAAAGTAGGAGTAGGGGTGTAGCTCAGCTGGTGATGAGTTGAGATGGAGCTGAATTCCTAGAACCCATTTTAAAAAGCACAGTGTGTTGGGCAGATCAGACAGATCCTTAGTACTTGGCTGCATCCAGCCTAGCCAACCTGGAACGTTCCAGGACAGAGAAAATCTTTTCACTTCCACACATGCACCTTCACATACACAAACAAACAGAAAACCAAAACCCCCAACAGTGTGATGCACTGTCTCATGTCATTACAAAAAGGGAATAAATAGGAAGAAATACAGTGTACTAAAAGTATGAATTACTTTGTGCTTAGTTCAATTTCACAAATTCCAAATACAAAATAAGTGTTTTATATAAAGTTGGGATATAAGAAGAAGTATTATAATCAATGTTCTATTAAAATCAAAAGAGGACTAACAAGATGGCTCAGTAGGAAGGGTGTTTGCTGCCAAGCCTGATGGCCTCGCTTTAATCCTGGAGACCCACGCGGTAGGCGGGAAGCATGGATTCCCACCAATATCCTTTGCTCACACATGCTCACCACACACACTCTGGCCTGTGGAGAGGAAGAGCGCAAGTTCAAGGCTGCCTGGGAAACCTGGCTGGACTCTGACGGGCTCAGTGGCTGAGGGCTTGCTACCCTGGCATGTGCAGTGCCCTAGGCTCCATCCCCCACACAAGGAAAGGGAGAAGAGGGAGAGGAGGAAGTCAGCAGGGACACGAGTTCTGTGATATGTGAACTTCACATTAATAAAACTGTTATTATAAATCTACAAAAATTAGAGGTGCAGGAAAGAAATTTTATAGATGACAAAGATATTTCCACATTCATTAGGTGAGATAGTGTATTACTTGTCAAAACAAAGTAAACATTTACTATGCATGCAATTTATTGTATAAGAAACACACAGAGCAAAACAAAATATCAAAACTTTAAGCATACTGAAACACATTCTGATTTTTATATATTTGTAAAGCAACTGTATTAAACAGTTCTAAAATGCATATCTAACTCATTAATAAAGTTAAAGAACTAATTACTTAGAGGTTTTTCTTTGGACATTAAAATTTACTTTCAAAATTATGTTAATAATTATGTTATTTCTAATTTTTAAAGATAGGCAAATTAATTTTTAAGAATGAAAAACCTCCACAACTTATAAGTAACGCAAGCAAGCAATATGCTTAGATATTAAGCTACTTTTTGTTGTTCAGCATAGATGAATCTGATTCCAATGTTTTAGCAATGCAGTAATGTAAACTTCCTACAGTATGGTGACTGCTCATATATGTGTCCGGCTAACAGAAATAGTGATATTACATCTTATCTAGCAAACAACCGGCCTCCTACCCTCCAGGTTCTTCAGTCATTTCTCCAGCGTTACGAGTAGCGCAATTTTCACTTTCTGAAGAACAATTCCTTGTGGAAGCTATGCTATGTCTCCCTTAAATACAGAAACAGACACATACAAAAAAGGGGGGTGGGTTAGCATTTCTAGCTGAGAATGGGTTTTACTTATGGAATGGTAACAAGGTAAACACATGGTTCCCAAGGCCAGCTATGGTATTTGGCATTTGTCAGGTGGCATTTCTCACCTTAATACTCATATCTTAAGGGCAGTACGAACTGCTAACGTTCTAGTGAACATTCTCAGAATATGTGGTATTCCAAACCAAGCCAATGGCTCAAAAGCACAGCCCAGGCTCCTCTTCCCAAAGGTCATTCCCATTTCCATATTCTGACTGCAGCTGAAAGTAAAGTGGCTCCTTCTGAGGACCCCTAAACCAATGACTTCCAAGTGCAACTCCAGAAAACACCTCCTCAACCCTACCACTGTGCCACCTGAATTTCTGCCAACTGCAGTAAACATGGCTGTAAAAAGAGACTACGATGAGCAAGATGCTCTTTTTTTTTTTTTTTAAAGTAGCCTGGATAGTAGCATATGCTATGATCCCAACAGTTGGTAGAGCTCAGTGAGCTCTAGACCAGCCTGGGACAGCTAGGGCTACACAGAGAGATTCTGTCTCAAAAACAAACAAATGAAATAAATTAACTAATTAATAAAGAGTTTAAAAAGTGTCCAAGCATGATGGTACATGCCTTTATCCCTGCACTCGGAAAGATCAGGCATACAAGGTCATCCTTAGCTACATAACAAGTTTGAGCCAACCTGAGCTATATGAAAACGTAAAAGTAAAAAACAGGTCAGAGTACAGCTGAACTTAAAACTTAACTTTGATTTAGTTCCGGGAGAAGAAAATTTTATTATTTTTTAAGTGGAATATCTACAAATAAACTATGAGCACAGGAGAGAAAATGAAATATAAATTTGCTATGAAGCATCCATGTTAAATTCATGTTAAATAAGGAAATGAATACAGTTAAGCTGGCTGAAGACTTATCTAGCACGACTGAGATTAACCCCAGCACTGGGTAAGCTGGTGTGGTGATATACTCCATCTCTCAGTACAGCGATACAGTCATCTCTCAGTACAGCGATACAG